GTCCTGGTGTCGCAGGTTGGCTCACTCACTCTTCACTCCCCAATGAACGGAAGTACCAGTCCTCCAGATGTTCAAATGACGATGGTAAATTTACCTTATTAGTGGTTTTGTAAGTAAATGTTTGTAGAGTGTAGAAGGCACAGATAAGCTTTGCACAATAATCCGCCTCGACGGGGACTCGAAACGCGGACGTACGTATTACCGGTCCGCTGCTCCACCAACACAGCTACCGAGGGCAGACGGTCAGGTGCGTAACTTTTGCTGCATGACTTCTGCGTCGTTTGCAACCTATTGCCAATAAGCTCACCTTACCTGTGCTAGTGTCGCAGATTGGCCCACTCACTCGTCACTTCCCAATGAACCGAAGTACCTGTCCTTCAGATGTTCTAAGGAGATGAGAAATATACCTTTTTTGGTTTTGGTGAGTGGAAATACGCCGCGAACCAAGCAGAAGTTGTATAATGTTTGCGCACCCGATCGTCAGTCCTCAGTTGCTCAGTTAGAAGGACAACGGAGCGGTAATTCGTACGTCCGCAGTTCGAGGCCCCGTCGAGGCGGATTATTGTGTGGTGCTTAATCGTGGCTTCTACTTTCTACAACTTTACACTGCTTACAAAGCCACCAATAATGTAAATTAACCATCGCCATTTGAACATCTGGAGGACTGGAACTTCGGTTCATTGAGAAGTGACGACTGCGTGCGCAAATCTGCAACAACAAGATAGGCACTGTGAACTTATTTTAAATACGTTACGAACCAAGCAGAAGTCATGTGTTAAAACTTGTGCACCTGACAGTCAGTCTACGGTAGCTCAGTTGGTAGAGCGATGGACCGGTAATCCGTAAGCCCGCGGTCCGACTCCCCATCGAGGCGGATTATTTGGCAAAGTTTAATCGTGGCTTCTTTCTACAAAATTACTTCTAGACTTGCTGAATGTTGTGCTCACAGAGATCAGCTCGATATTTAATCAAATCTCATGCTCTTGCATTGGGATTGAGGACAATTAGAGTATATGTTCCTTGTTCTCAAGTACCGAAGCAAGACCACTTATTGTACAGTTTAAGAGATTATACGCAACCAGCGGAACTTTTATCTGGCTTCTTGATGCGGCCTTTCTGCTCCTTGCTATTATTAGCTGAAGGGTTTGCTTACAGCCGTTGTTGCGCAGACCCCACTCCACCATAAACTTCACTATAACTAATCTGGACTTGGTCCGTGCTCACAGTCTTCACATTTAGTGGTGCTCACATGGAAAGAAATAATAGCGGCAGAATTACACGACAAGAAAGGGTCTAAAAATAGGTTATAGAAATGCAGATAAACAAGCGATTTTTGAGTCGGCGAACTTAACTAGAACAATGCAAATTAACGAAGAATATATCCAAACTTGCTGCTAGGTTTTGACTCTAGCGCCAACACTCAAACTGAGTAGATCTTAAAAAATGTAAACTTAATTCTAAGGCTAGGGTATTACATAAAGCAGTACTAACATAAACTGGCCTAACTAGTGTTAAACTTTGCTTACGTTAAAAGTAAGGCAATGCCATACGTGCAGTTATTAGCAAGTTATCCTCGATTAAATTACGGTTTACGAATAACGCCAATATCATTTTCCATAAAGATGACTTTCTGCTTTGCACGAAGATAGCAGCAGCAAGTAAGCTATTAAACGTGGAGATGCGGTATGTTTTAAATGGGCACTCCTCTCTAGAGATGCTCTATTTTTCCTAAAATTTTCCGTGGTAACGAGGTACTAAGTGGCCAAAGAGCAAACTTTTCAAGCATACTTAGCAAATATAAGCAAATAGGTGATAATTCATCGCAAAAATGCTAGGAACCCAGGAAGGAAGGTTTATAAGCAAAAGCCTTCAGAGCAACTTATAATTAGCCCGCGATCCGGAGGTCTCCGTGTACCATGTTTAGTGGATCCTGAGCCACATAAACCACTATGAATATAGCTCGTTGTCGTTATAGTCGCTAAGTATTTGCAAAGGATATAAAAAGGCTGCATATTAGATCTACCTAGATAATAGAAGAGACCTTTAGGATCATTTGACACGTTTGTCCTGAAAAACGCCTATATTTATTAGAAAAATATCGCAAGCATTATTGCTTGCAGCCTATATTCTATATCCATAAGACTGTGTCAATACACTGGTAAGCTAAAGGAGCCTGTCGCTAATAATAAAGGAATCAGTATCGGAAAATTTAGCAAAATGCCTTGGGGAGTAAAGTCTACTTGGGTCTGCATGGGCGGGGCATTAACAACTCAGCTTCTGGGGTTGTGATAGCTCAAACTTAAAGGATTATTTTGCATCATGTGTTGCTACACACTATTGCGTGTGTTTTGCTTAACTTAGAGGTTATTTTCTTTAAGGTTGTTTCTGAAGCTAGTGTCAGCCGTGTTCATCTAGTTGGCATGGTTATCAAGTACTGTAACGTTGCATCAGCTAATAATTTGTTAGCCTTTCGATGAAAGCTGTTCTAGCCCCCTTAGCAAAGTCCAATAATCTAAATCAAGATTGAGCAAGTAGATACAAAACTGGTGGCTGCTTGCTCGCCCACCAATATGCATAACGCATGGTAGGCTTTGGAGCCAGCTGTAAGCTAAAATTGTGCACGGATGCCTGATGTAAGTCGAACTGGTGGTAGAAATTTTCTGGATATCCAGCCCTGCAGTATTACATGGGCTGCTTAGTCGCTGGTTAGCTATCGTGCCAGTGAAATATAATCTAGAAATGCAAATATTTTACTAACAAAAGCGGCCGGAGTAGAGTATCTGGATTTTATGATGCCTGTCGTCCAGTGTTTCCAGTAGTAGTCAGCACATGAAAAATTCAGGTATAACAAAGTATAAGGGGGCCAAGGGAGAAAAGTAGGGAGCAAAATGTCTGGATTCTTGGGCCTGTGAATTTTATAGTGGTCAAGTCATCGAGCTTTTGGAATATATATATATATATATGCATATTATTTTGCGGTAGCCGCACGATTATAATTGGAAACGGCGAAGCAGATTAGAGCCTACTCAGGCTTAATGAAAACGCATCAGTTAAGGTCACATAGCAAGGCACACCCAAGAAGATTCATAAAAGTTCTGCTAATGCTGGTATTTAGACGAGGTTTTGTGCAACTCTGATGCTACCTTAGGTGTATTTGGTGTAGCGACAACAACAATAGGTAGTAACATTTTATACACGTCTTAGGTCAGATAAACTGCTTTTACTAGGCGTACTTTAAAGGACAGCAGTTCAATATTTTTCAATGACCCAGTGGTCTAAGTATTTGGAAAGTGCTAAGAGCTAAAGCTGAAGACTAAGGAAGGAGAGTGTTGGCTGATGAATTGGGTGTTGGCAGGAGTAGGTTGAACGTAAATGTTTGAAGCTAATTATTGAGTACAATACTCGGGCAGACCTGAGAAGTGTAGTTATGCCAGATGTGTGTTGGTTGCTTTGGTTGCTCTGTACCGCACATGAAAACGCGGAGAGGGGAGAGCGCGGGCTTGTAAACATTGTAGAGTCTCCAGCTTAGGTCGTCTGTTGGAGACATAGCAGTCGAATTCATGTACGTGACAAGAAGTGTCTCAGAGGAAAGGCCTTCGTTGTCGTGAAATGGGTGCAACTGGGTTGCGCAGGAACGGTACTTTTTAGCTGGTACACATGGGGTGCTAGGAACTGTTGATGCATGCTCTTGCACTAAGCGGCTGTTATAGAGACTGTGTCAGCAAGTAGTGTGGAAGAAGTTGGCAGAGAACGATTGGTGGCATCTGTAAGAGGTTTAAGGGCATTCTTTGTCCTGGAAACTTGTGAATTATGGCAAAACCTAGCCCGCCATAACTCTATAAAAAGCGGCCTGGGTGGTGAAGTGTTCGGCATTTTAGTATTCATTGTAAAGCTTGCATTGCGCGGTCTAATAATCTGTAAATGCTAGGGTGGATCTGTGCCTTTTGCTT